CTGTAAAGGAAAGTAAGTTTCAACTACCCTTCCCATCATGCTCACTGTTTCTCGCTTTAAAGGGGGAGGGGCGAAAGGGGGCCGAAAGTTGGACTGATAGAGACAGCATTTCCCTAGGAATCCGGGGGCATGCTCCCGCAAAATATTTGTGTTCTAGACGCCCGAAAATAACATTTGAGACGTTCTGGGCTATCATTTTTTTCTTTTTCTTTTCTTTTTTTCCTTTTTAACCTTCTAAAAAAAGTGAAAAAAGTGTGGGGGGGGGGGGGAGAGCGGCGCCTGATTTGGCACACCTAGAGTGTGTTCCCATCAGATTAATAGGGGTGTCACCATAATAGGGTTGGCCGTAGTGTTAAAAGATATAATTCTCCACATTTCACGGAAAAGTGTACCTGAATAGGGGTGTCCGAAAGTAGAGTTCTACTGTATTATAAATTGGTCGTATATTTTGTATCTTGGACGCCATTTCTATGATCACTATGGCAATAAATACCGAGTCCTATAGGCCAAATTTACAGGGAGCAATTTAGGAGTGGAAGGTTGCCGACCGTAGGTATACAGTGTATTTCATTGTTGGCAATGTGAACTTTACTTACCTTTGCTTCTTCGAAATGGCCTTATTGAAAATCACAATTACTTATGACCAAAATTGCAAAAACAAGTTTAATTGGAAGGAAAGAAATTTGAAAACCGTGTACAAAATTTAATCAAAAAACATATAAGGTAATTTAAGAAGGTCAAAATAAAGAAAAATAATTGAAAAAAAAATGTAAACAGGCAAAAAATATGCACATCAGAAAAAAATGTAGTAGTAATAAAGGTTATGATAAAAGTAATAATAATATTTAAAAAATATTGTTTGACGGTTTGTATGGTGAAGTAATAATACATATATTTTTTTGCGGTACACCACGTATATGATAGTTCTGAAAAAGAACTATTGTTTGTTAAGAATGTTTCGACGTTTCGATTGAGTTGCTTCAATCGTCTTCAGGAGAAAAACATCTGAAGAGAATCAACAAAAATACGTATGTTTGGATAGTGAGACTAGGCTGCTGATTGGTGGAAAGTTAAAAATAGTAATAACATTTAGAACATAATTGTATTAACATCAAGAACACAAATTTGACAAACCAAACTGGTTCTCACTCAAAGCGGACTGGTGACTAGGCTGGAATAGGCATGCTGTTTATTTACGTTATTTGCGTTTATTTACGTAGGCTATTTATTTAGTAATATATTCGGCACAACTTAAACAAATCATAAAATGGACAAAGGGGTGCCAAGAGGACAGTGTGAGCTGAATGCCCAACAATATAATTGCTTTCAATTGAGTTTTTAAAAATTGACGTTTTAATGTTAACCAAATTTATGACTAACGTACATTTCTGAAGTATCAATCAAACTGTCATTCAAACCTAACTGCCTAATCAAAAACAGAGGTAGGAACACGCTTACGCCCCCCCCCCCACAAACACACACACATACACGCATGTTTACGTTAGTTTTCTGGTACCTTAGCAACGATATCCAAGGGGCGGAGCTTAGTGGAATGTATTCTATTATGATTTTGACACGTATAACGAGTCTTTTTAAAATGTGTTTTTAGAGAGAACATCACAAAAAAAAAAAAAAAAAAAAAATTTCTTCTCTTAAAAAAAAATTTCTACTCTTGTCAACATCAGACTCCTGAATTAAACCTAATAAAAATGTTTTACCCCTCTCACCCCCACCCCAACTCACTGAAAAGAAAAAAAAATATGGGCGGAAAAACCATTAAAAAAAACCACTTTTTTTTGTAGCTTTTTTCTTTAAAAATCATAACAAATTTGATTGAATTGGTCTTTATTTTTTGGAAGATGTCCTACAAAGTTGTCTACAGTTGTTTCTGATATAAGATATTGCCATTCTGGCTTACATTCATTACAAAATGTTAACCGTGGGTTATTTATATTCCATCTGAGAAGTAGTCTTGAAAAAAAGAAAAAAAAATACGTTACAGAAGTACTTGACTTTTAAACATCTTTAGGCAATGAAGGACTTGCTGATGAAGAATTGGACGCGACTGTGGAGTATGTGAAGTCCCATGAAACATTCGTTGCTAATGCCACAACTGATCGATTACTGGGCCACATAGTTGGCTACCGATTTCAACTGGATACAGACGGTAGCGAAGTGGTATTCAATAGAGTCTTTGGTGGAGTGCCTGACTTCACATCAGTGAGAGACGGGTATTCTAGTATTACTGAGGTGCAAGCAACGGCGTTATTGAAGGTGAAAATCTGCATTTTGTTGACAGATTTATGGAGATGTGTATAAGAGACAGTAGGTATACAGTGTATTTCATTGTTGGCAATGTGAACTTTACTTACCTTTGCTTCTTCGAAATGGCCTTATTGAAAATCACAATTACTTATGACCAAAATTGCAAAAACAAGTTTAATTGGAAGGAAAGAAATTTGAAAACCGTGTACAAAATTGAATCAAAAAATATTTAACGTAACTTAAGAAGGTCAAAATAAAGAAAAATAATTGAAAAAAAAATGGAAACAGGCAAAAAATATGCACATTTTTGCTTGTATCCGTTCTTTATTTAATTTTGTATTTTGAGAATTTGTAAAATTGTCCGTGTTTTTTTTTTGTTTTTTTCAGTTGTTCTGGTATTTAATGAGATTGATTATTTGATGTAATGAAATTGTTGGTTTTAAAATTGTTGGTTTTTGTTTGCACTATTGCACTATTTTACTACTCCGTTCCGGAGGTTTTCTGGATAAATTGAAATTGAAATAATTGTAACAAAAGATTGAGATCAGCTGACACCACTATCTACATAATGTCCAACAGTCCACCACCATTAAGGGGATGATTGAGTGAGGTGGAAATAATTTTTAAACCAGGGGCTAGGAAGAAGTTCGACGAAGTTAGAAAGTAAAATGGACTTTGTTTGGATAGGAGGGATAAAGGAATTTCACGCTAGGGGCTAAAGTGGAGTAAAAGGTCTGTAGACGATTTTGTATGTTTAAATTGCATCTTACAATATATTCTTATCTGTTAATAATTACCTATTTGTTATGTTTATTTATGGACATATAATTTAGCGTATATATATATATATATATATATATATATATATATAAATGATATTATTATGATCATGAATTATTATCACATTCGACAGGAAAATTTAAAGCAAGTAATTAAAATTCTCGATGGGGAGATACCGTCATTTTCAACGTATGGATTTAACGTTAAAAAGGGTTTGATAGATGCCGAGTTTTCGATGATTTTATCATCGACAGCAAAGGGGTTACTTATTGGAGAGGACACACAATGGCAAAGAGTTTGCTTCGATATACGTACTAATAGTCAGTTGGAAGGTGGGTAATCGATTGATTGAAATCAAATTGCTCCTAAATTCTGTAATAATAATAATAATAATAATAATAATAATAATAATAAAGACAACGACAATGACGGTGATGATTGTGATAACGACGACGATAATGATATTTCTGATGATACTAATGATAATGATGATAATGATACTGATGAAGATGATCAGAGAAAAAGTAGCGGTCAAACACTAGTTCTTTTTTTAGAAATCTTCAATTCTTCATGGTAATTGTTTTTTTCGCCTATGTTATTTCCACAGCTAACTATAACCGAAGCTTTAAGGACTGTCGTTGTATTTGTCCTTTCCCTTCCCCCATCCCGGGCAATGTATCGAGCTACGATGCATGTGCGAACCGTAAGTTAATAAAGAAAATGACATTTCATAGCACAATTAACTAGGACACACATTCAGAATAGGGCGTCTGTCAAATTCTAACATGCTGTCTGGAAGCGACCCGGCCGGCGTCCAAACTCGCACGGCTGGTGGGCTTGCCACGCAAGGCCTATGATGCTAGGTTTCGTTTGGCTAGGCCGGGCAGGACTTACTCGAGCGGATCGACCACGGGTCATTTTTTTGCAGTACACAGATATGGCTCAGACCTGGGCGAGGGTTTGTAATCTCAGATTATTTTGTTATTATATCAATCATTACAATAATAATTATAATTATAGCCGTAATCATTAACAATATAACCACCATGTATATAATAATGGTAATAATAGCAATATTAACAAAACCAACAATAACGATTAATAATAATAATAATAATAATAATAATAATAATAATAATAATAATAATAATAATAATAATAATATATTCACACCACGTACTATTGTTAACATTATTATATTGTAATGTATTATCTTCTCTGTATTTTTAAAAATCCCTAATTAAGCGTAACATGTCAACACCTATCCTTTACCTATTTTTTCCATAGGCTTATTATTTCCTTATGGACTCGATTTTAACGATGAGGTCGTACCAACTAACGATGATGACTCGTCCGGTATCATTAATCTTAAGACATTTTTCCCGTATTATGATACATTCTATGAGAGTCTCTATGTGAGTTCCATTGATTATCATTATCATCATTATCATCAGATCATCGTCATCGTCATCATAATTATCATCATCGACATTAGTGTATCTCATGCATCATAATCATAATCATTAGTCTTATCGTATTATTAATATTATTAAAGCTAATAATATTACTGTAATTATATTATTGATATTATTATTGATATTATCATTCTTATTTATTATTATTGTTGTTATTTTTATTATTATATTTATTACTACAGTATTATTGTTGTTAATCATTTTTTTCTATTATACTGTTATGCTTACCATTCATTCACCATTACTATTTCTTTTTCTCTGTAAAACACCACTGTAGCTCTAATCAGAACAGGTGTCGGAATCTTATCATTTTAGGTGAACACAAATGGTGTTATATCATTCGAAGGGGTAGTGAACGACTATACGCCCGACCCGTTTCCTCTGATGGACACTTGGCCGATGATTGCCCCATTTTGGGCAGATGTCGATACAACAAATGGTGGAGCTATATATTATAGAGAAATGGTCAGAAAAGACGATGAGAAACTAGCTCAAAGCATCGATAGAATCATAAGAGGAAACGATGTAACTCAAGCAAACTTTGAACTGATTTGGATGTTTGTTGCTACATGGGATCAGGTAGCGTTCTACGTACTCGACCAACCGAGGCCTATGATTGTAAGTGATTGAATACTTCCAAGTCAAAACTTAACAAAATAGTCTCATATTACCAACCGATGTCACCAAATTCGAAGAGGACCGAGATACATGTAACATTGTCAGTGTGTGAAAAAGTAAATCGGTCCAGTAGCTTTTGAGTTATGCGCCCAGGAGGACACACATACATCCCCACTACCCGCTTGGCTCCCCCACTCACTTGTACACAGATGCGCGTAGAATACGTAGAAAACTTATGGGCATGAAGCGCTTAATCCCTGTCCAAATTATAAAACTTTATTTGATAAAAACATGTGACAAGCATAAATATGGCCATGATGCCATTTCGTTATGAGCGTAGACACATCATCAGACATTTCGAGTTTTAGACAAATTTTGCAGTGCGTGAGATTTTTTTTTATTTGCTTCTAGAGGTATGGGGATCGATCACCTCACCCCTTCCCCCGGAAATTGTATTTTTCTAAATGCTTGAAAATGCATTATTATGATCTGCACTTTTTCCCTTTTTACTTGAGAATACACGGATTTGAGGTAAGAAAGTTTATGATTATAGAACGTAGATGGCCGGCCTGACATGTCACTGTCAGACTTAAATTTGAATACAATTTTCTTTTTTTCTCCATTATTTTTTAATTTGTTTTAGAGGAGCCTGACAAACCCCCTCCGCCCAAATCTGCAATGTCCACACGATTTTTTCACACTGGCATAAACTGGCAGTGTGTACCTTTGATCTTATCCGACAGCGCTTTATAAAACGATATATCTACAGTGTTTGTACAACTAGTTCATATACATGCTGTTACCATATTTTAAGTTGGGCTAATATAGATTGAAAATTTTTAGTAAGAAGAGGGCTACAAACCTACAAATGTCACAACTTGCTTGTTGTTTTCTTTTATAGAATAACACGTTTCAAGCTTTGCTGGTGACAGATGGTAGATCCTCGTTCACTATTTTTAACTACGCCCACATACACTGGACGACTGGACATGCGGGTGGAAGCTCAATTGCAGGTGACCCTGATGGTTTAGGTGGTATTGAAGCTCAGGTATTAACAAATTACATCCTATACGTATTAACTACGGTATTCAGTTGCTTATCTAAGGATGTTCGCGGGGGAAGGGTGGCACATCCCCTAAAACTAGGTCAGCAGACTTCAGAAAAAAATTGCATTTATGTCCTGGAGTGTAAAAAATGTCTTTTGATTGGCCATTCCTACAAATTATGTTTGCAGGACATGCTGTCTGGTAATAAGCCCATCCCCATAACAAAACTATTACAGTATACTGTACTATTCATTGTTATAGGTCGGATACAACGTTGGAGATGGCGTGCGATATTACACTGTTATGGGCTCAAGGACAGAAGATATTGTGGACATAGAGGAAAAGTCGAACGTCGGTGTACCAGGCAGATATATTTTTAATGTTGGTGGGGAAAGTGTAGTCGATCCAGATTGTCATTCAAGCCAAGGTGGATGTCCCTTTTTTCTCTTCTACTATAGATAACATAATCGTAACGGTAACGATGATATCAATGCCTATGATGATGGTAATAGGCCTATACTGATGATGATGATGATGATGATGATGATGATGATGATGATGATGACGATGACGATGACGATGATGAAATTTGTTTTTCCCTGGATTGGATTTCTTCGGTGTGACATACATCAAGGATAACTCACAAAAGTCCCGAGACAATCCTCCGGGAGACAATCCCTGCTCTTTTCCGTGGAGTGTATTGCGTTCTTTAACGTGCACATGGGCCAATTTGCACACGCTCCTCGGAAAAGAGGAGGGATTGTCTCCCGGTGGACTGCCTAATTCACCATGAGAAGGCACACTGGAAATAAGCACACGGGACCAACAGCAAAAACGGTGCGCTTTTGAGAGCAGCGATGAGAACTGAACCGGAGACCAAAACATCTTCATGGTTTATGGCACACACAGTACCTACCACCAGATAAGACGATTGAGTTAGCTGCTCTTATTTTCTTATTTAGACCGAGATAATTCCGGATCGCTGATACTCTACCCGGCCTCTGGATCCATGTTAGGTGGAAATGCAATCCAAGTCCAAGGACCGTGCTTCCAGAACACCGACAAGGTCATGTGTCGATTCATCAGTGACAACGACGCTGGACCAACAACGACGTGCCAATTTTTTGGTGGTCGCACGGTGTCGTGCGTGGTACCGATCCTCCTTCGCATTGGCAGGGTGCATGTGTTCCTTTCGATCGATGATGGTGCAACATTTGGCTTCCGGGGAATATACACATCGGGTAGGTATTTATATTTTGTATACAGACCGTAAAGATTCAAATTTTATTGAAAAAAAACAAAAACAAAAACACTAAATATGGTCGTATTATTATTTATTATTTATTATTAAAAATGGTTGTAATGACACCATAATGTGGAACATACATAGTCGCATCATGACTATATATTGGCATGCAACAGGATTTTTTTTTTCAAATTAGTAGCTTCAGATTTAATTTCAACTTTCTGTAACTGATTAAAGTTATCCCCTCAGACTAGAAAAAACTTATGCTGTTCTGTGAGGAGTGGTAAACTATTGCAACACTATTATCTTCTTGAGTGTGTTGCTTTTGTAGTGTAATGAGGACAACTCCTCGTTCAATAGTTTGTAGATTTGTTAGTTTGAAATTGTTATTAGGCCTATACGTTATTTTGAATAAGTTAAATAAGTTCTCTAAAATACCCTTAATAATAAGTGGCTTGAAAGAGTGGTGCTACGATACATTTCTTACATAACGTAATTTATATAGTGCTATTTCATGAAGATCAGATCACTCAAACTGTTTTCTCCATAATGGTCTCTTCGTGTCTGAGCTGGCGTGTAAATTTACCAGCTACTCTCATATAAACCAGTGCACCGGGGTAAACACCCCCCCGGCCCCCTTACTCGTCCTGAAAGATGTACTGGGTTCTTTATAGTGCATGAGCCAATTGTGTACACTGGGCCTACGGTTTATAGTCCTTATCCGAAAAGACTTATTCTACCTCCGGAACCACAGGCAAGCGTGCCGTTCGAACCAGCGAAGATATTATGGCGGTGGTTGCAGCTCCCCTGCCTTCAACGCTCGGAACAGGTTGTAAATCGTAACACACATTTTGTCTCTTCTCAATGATAATACATTTGTTAAATTTCAAGCATCCCTAATATATTGTGTAAAATGTAAGTTACCCTTCCTCCTCAGTGAGTACTGAAGATGTTACGGGAGCGATACCATATAAGGTTCGTCTGGATACGAACGGCATATATCCCAAGGTTGTGTGGCCGAGTAATGCCTTGGACGGTAGTTACTACGATATTGATATTTACGTGTTTAAAGACGGTGCAGATTCTATCGGGCTAGAAAATGGCAGAATTAGGCCAACGGTGGTGAATGATATGGCCATTGAATCACCTAATTTGGATTTGGAGTTCAATTTAACTATCCGGCTTTTATCCAAAGGCAACGATGTTGGTATCATTCGTATATCACAAGGGGATGAAGAACCCGGGGAACAGAACAGGTAACAATGTCACTTTTTTGTGTCTTCATGAGACTTTGTTATCATACATTTAGGCTATATTTACTGTGGATCACTTGCAGAATAGCGAGTCCCAGAAAATCATCAGTTCTCCTGGGAATACAAGACCACGCATTAATGCTTATAGGACCCTCATGAATACAAATTAAATTTTGATGTACGTCGCAAATTTAAGCAGGTGGTCAGACCAACGCTTTTCCAGGGCAGATTTAAAAGAATTTAAAGAAACAGAATTAACATCCTCCTCAGATAAGGCATTAAAGAAATCAACACATCTTCTAGAAAAACAACCCAACTCAAATTTGTTCTAGAATACTGATGATGCATTTTAAAAGAATGACCTTGGGTGTTTATAGAGGTGCTCAAATCATAAAAACAATTCCACAGAAACATTGTCAAAACCTCTAACAAATCAAAAAGTCTGAAGAATATCAGCTCTCTGTCTACGATAACTTAAAGTTGGTAAATTTAAGGCTTGCAATCAATCTTGTTATGGTAAATGTAGCATGACTAGGTATACTATCCTGGGTGTTGAAGATAGCTCTCTCTTGCTGGTTTGGCAAATATATGGATCCAATGTCTAGTGGTATGGTCGGCATCCAAGACATCCATTTTGTATTCATATTATATACACGAGTCACTGCAACAAACAGCAAACTAAGCTCCCTGTTGAAGATTTTGTTGTACTAAAATTTGGCATAGGCTCAAAATTCAACAATTAGGGTATCTATCCAGAATATTAGATGACCCTCACAAATATGAAAGTAACAACCAGGTTCCGAGTTACTACTCATTGTACGAAAATACACTGGGCTTCAATCCCAGACTCTATGCATATTAACAAAATTCTATTTTGTTTCTTTGTTCTCAGTTTTGCAACATCAATATGGAGCGATCCATTTGACTTAAGTATATTTACGGATTTGAATGTGCCGAAGTGGTGCTCGGCCTGGAGGAATGTTGAGTCATTCAATTCCGTACAGCTTGCTTCATCAGATGGTGAACTTCGCTGTCCATGCAACTTACAGAGTGCATTGATAGATAGGGGACGTTTCTCACCGAGTCCGCGATGTTCAAACACGGTACACGAATCATGCGTAGATGAAGTCAACATTGTCCACTGTGTTCGCAGCAGTACACCAAGGTAACAACATACAGCAGAAATCACGTATTATTGTCTGTAAATTTCTATGTTTGCAGGACGTATTTTGGCGCTGTTGGTTTTAATTTGAAATAAACAAATATTTAATTTGTTAGGAATATCGCTTGTGATATAACTTCTTGCTTTGAATTAAGCCCATGTCTAATGTTTACGATCAAGACAAAAATCATCAGAATGGTTTACAAATAACATATCAGATGAAACAGATTTTGATAAAAGTTGGTTATCGTAGGACTATGTCCGCCTGTCTGATACTATATTTGTCCAAAATGCACATATTTCAATAATGCTCCTTTTCAGTTCCGAAGGTCATGGCCTAGAATGCTGTTACGACACCAATGGTGCCCTTTCCAATATTGAAGACAACATAGACGCTGGATATGCGCACCGGTACCATCACCTTGGGCGGGAACCCTTTGACGAAATTGGCAGAGTTCCGTATTTGTCCCATTTTTTACACGACATATTACCCTACCGACGATGCTGTAAAGACAAAAAATCTTGTTCAGCGAATTTTATTCCGGCTCGACCGTCACACGACTGCTCTGGATACCAGCCTCCTAGGCCAGGTGAGAAAAGCGTCAATTTGTTTAGGTTTTTTAATAGGCACAATCGCATGTAGGTTCGATACTTCGCTTAAATGCACTGTAAAAAAACCACCAAGTACTTATTTCGAGATGAGTAGAGAGTTTCCCCAGTGTAATTCGACCACACGACCCTGTTGTGCATGGATGGAAGTAGCTAGTTTTTACCTGGTAGCTAGTCCATGCCTCAAGAGTTTTGACACTTTGGTATAAAGTGCTAAATCTATCATTATATTATCTCATTTGCAGTAATTGTTATTTTTTTGTCAACAGCTAGAATGAATGGTGATCCCCACATACAGACTCTTGATGGACTTGCGTACACCTTTAATGGTCATGGCGAGTACGTCCTGATGAATTCACTAGATGGAATGTTTATGATGCAAGGACGAACAGAACCCCTACAGGTTACAGGTAAGTGACAGTTGATGTATTACACTGGTATTGAGTTTAAATACTGGTATTGGGTCGTGAAATACTGGTATTGAGTTTACGAATCAACTTCATAACTGTAATACTAGATTTATATATAAGACTAGATTGACATTCTAGAATGTAAATTTATAAACCAAAATCTGGTACCGTTACACATAGTAGATTCTCATTCATTGATACCGCTATTGATGAATGGAATAAATTGCCTTATAATGTTAAACATGCACAATCCATATATGCTTTCGAAAAACTCGTAAAGTACTATTATAAATCTTAACTTAATAATACGGTTGAATTTTGATGACGTAATGTAGAAAATTGAACTTGTCTGTGTATTATTTAAGATGTTTTACGGTAATTTTATTGTTTCCATATTTATTATTCAGTTATTTCTGTATTCTCATTTAGGGACCACATAAATAAGTTGCTTTTTGTGCTTTCTGTGTTTTTATTCCTGAAAGTGTTTTTTAATTGTAACAACTTTCAGAATTTCTGAAAGAAAAAAAAAGATGATTGCTGATCAAGCCCAAAGTTTATTTGATAAAAACGTATGACATGCCTAGATATGGTAATGATGACATGACATCATGACAAAATGATGGCACATCATGCATATATAATAGCACACCACATTTTTTTTTCAAATGAAATTTGATAACCTGGACAGAACGATAGCATTGTTGTCGTCGTCGTTGTGACTGGAGTTGTTAGAAATGTTTTCCTTCAAAATGTATTTGTTGAAAATGACTTTTAAAAGTGTTTTTTAAGTTTTCTTTGTTGTTTGATTTTTACCTTTGTAAATTCAAAATGTAGTTCAGCCTGTGCTGCTGTTTTTGGAATATCTATTTTGTAATTTTTAATAAAAGATACCGAGAAGTGTATTTCTGGTAAATATTTTTTCTCCCAGTGTAACTGAATTAATTGTATGTATTGCTTATGGTACTACAGGTAATGTGCGCAAGGCTACTCGGTTTACTGCGATCGCAGCCCAGTACAACAATGGGACTAACATACATGTTAGCTTGAATGAAATACATGGTCTGGCAGTACACGTGACCGACAGTGACAGCCAGTGGTCTCAAATCAGATTTGATTTGACACCGATTTGGTATGACACAGGTAATAATAGTATAACTTTATAAATTGTTTTCTAAATAATACATATTATATCATATATATATAATATATATATATATTCATATTATATATACATATATATATATTATATTCATATTATTATATATTATATTAATTTTTTATATTTTTTATAATATATATTGTTTTCCTGGCGTAACATCAATGAAATTCGATATTATATACATATATATTGGTAGTTTTTACATGATTTCATTTAAACTTAAGTTTGGAAATTGTGTTGTTTCTATCATTGAATTGGCAAATAATAAGTGAACGCAACCTGAACACATTACAACTTAGTTTAGCACCTCCATCTCTGAAGTGCGCATGCCTAATTATTCATAGAACAGTACCACACCCTTTTTAGGACGTTAAATTAGCACTGAAAATATGTTTTGGCATACATTGCGATTAAAAAATCTGTGACTATTCCCCGCCTACAGGTATCACTATATTCTATAGCGAGGAAACAAATGTGACAAGTGTGTCGGTGACTGTCGCGTTTGACTTCGGACTAGTTTTTATTGTTGAAGCTGCCAATGACATCATGTCCATCGTGGTTGTCGGTCCAGAAACAATGCGAGGAAACACCAGTGGGCTTCTTGGTAACTGGAATGATGACGTCGCCGATGATCTTCAGACACCTGATGGTGACTATCTTCCGTCGAACTCAAGCATTCGTGATATTCACTATGATTTCGGCGAGAAATGTAAACTATTCTACTTTGTTTTGTAAAATTGCAATTTAATTCTGTAACGTAATCAGGAACTAGAATAAAGTGATGTGTGACTATGTATATAAGAGCATAATGCATGGGAGTGGGAAAAGATAAAATACACAAAATAGTTAGTTGTTAATACGATACGTATGATAAAACAATGAGAACCATCGGCATGAATTGTACTGAATGTGGGTACGAAACATGGAGTCAATAGCTGTAGTATGGGGAAGTGGTGTTTTATGAATATGGTCATGCGTAATTTTGCACGACACCTTCAATGTGTTGTAGAATTTTGGACACGGCCACAGATTGGGGCGAGTTAGCCATGATTGGTGTAATACACTGAACCATGTTTTGTCACACATAAAACATAGGCGTACTTTTCGTGACAGTCATATAGAGTGAGAGTCGGGAACATGGAAATAGGCTACACAAGAAAAACGTGTAAGCACTTTTCAAATCCAGAATTAGAGTAAGAACAACTCACTTTAAAATACCACTGTTTGTAACACGAACGTACGTACCTTTAAAGCTCGGTTTCCATTGAATTGCTCACCTTATCGGCAACAGTCACCGACAGTTGTCGGGAGGGTTGAACCTCGTTGAACCTAGTTCAACTTTGCCGATTGCGATGCAGAAGAATCAGAGTATATTGCTATCTGCCCTGACGCAATCGGGAATGCACCCTGATTCGTTTGCAACGCAATCGGCAAAACCTTTCCGAAAACTGACGGCGACTGTCACCAATAGGATGAGCGATTCTATGAAAACCGATCTTAATTGTTCATCTGATCTGAACAAATAAAAGCGTAAGTAGTTTTTATAAGTGGACAAGGTGACGTAGTATCATTAATCACAAACCGTGTAAATCTCAATGCACATGTCATCAAAGTGACATCACAACAAATTGTATTCGTTTTTATTTTGGCCTGATAATAATAATTACAATGTTTGGCTAAATTTAATAGAAAAAGCTTCAGTAATAACCAATGTCTCCACACTGCACATTGCAGCACTGAGTCGCGTCTAAAACGAGAAATACATGTCGTTTTTGTGCATTTTGCTCATTTTTCCTACACATAAACTTTTCTGTTGAATATTCTGACTATATTGCAGGGAGAATTGCTATTGAGGATTCGGTGTTCTATTATGGTACCGGCACTGATTACAAAACATACTCGCACCCAAATTTTGTACCGTGGTTTGAACAACCAAACAATATTGACCAAGCCTTAGTTTTTGCAGTCTGTGGAGACAATCCGGAATGCATTTTTGATTTTCAAGTTACAGGCGATGCAGAGATTGCCAAAGTAACGAAACAGAGAGTCGAAAGTTTTGAAGAAATTGTAAAAAGTGTTATACCAGGTACGTTTTACAATTAGAAAGCAAGCCCAATTTTTATTTCTGTATTGCGTATTATATTCTTTGTCTGATTTTTGCTGTGTTCTCTTATTTTTTAAAAATATTATATGTGTTTTTAATATGGTTGCATTACTATTTTTATATTTAATAGGTTTATTTAAAATATTTTTTTAAATATTTAATTTATATTGGTATACGTCAATTCGAAACAGCACTAATTCTAAAACTGACGTGACACTATGGCCTACAGTGTATTATGTGAAGGTAGAATTTATAAAGGATTCAAAGAACCAGGTAGTTGTCTGATACGTTTAACACATTTCTCCAACAGTTGTTGTGTGTGGTTTTATACCTGCTCCCAGTAATGGCACTAAAAATGGTTCTGTATACACAGAGGGAGGTGTTCTAGTCTTCGACTGTAACGATGGTTACAGCATTTCAAATGGAGCATCTACTATTTATTGCACGCAAGAGGGATTCTGGTCGGATAGTGTGCCATCTTGTGTGAAAGACGGTAAATGTTGCATAAATCCCTATCCAGAATAACAATTACGACGTATATAGGCGCATAATGACTATACAATAATCTTTTAGTAGGGTGGACAAAACCTTGCATAATACCGGCCTGTGTCTGATTTACCGAACAATTTGAATGGCCGGTTTTTTCGATTATTATGTACCTTTCCACTAAATTTTATTATGATCCATTCCTTTCGTTCGTAATCTTGTTAAAAAACAGACAGACAGACAGCAAGACAGATAGAAAGCGATTAATATGGTACATAACCTCCTTTGGTGGAGGTAATATATTATAATAGGGATTTATCTCCCGCCTTTTGCCAAGGTATACAAGGCGCTGGCGATGTTGTTCCCCTGGTCATTGGATCTATAATCAAACCAGCACAATGTGCAGCCTTCTTTATTACCCAGAGAGTTATTCCTATTTGTGTTTGCAAATTGCCGATACAGACTAACACACAGGTACCCATTTATACATTATGGTGAAGAGATACAAACGTAGTTAACTGCCTTGCCCCAGGACTCAAGTAAGTATCCTAAATCTTGCCCATGAAATATATTATGTTAATTCCTTTGTTCAATTTTTGTCAACAGAAGTTGTGTGCGAGTTTATAGATGCCCCTCAAAATGGAGCTAAAAATGGGTCTCTCTATGTTGAGGGCAGCATCATACATTTCAAATGTGACGTTGGTTTTACGTTGAATGGACAGTCTAAGATAAGGTGTACTGATGGAGAATGGTCTGACATGGCTCCCTCTTGTGTCAAAGAAGGTAATATAATTCAAAAAATGACAGGCCTTCCTCTAATTGGCCACTGTTCAGGGTACCAAATTAACACGCTGCTAAAAACACCATGGAAACTGCAGTCCCAAAAGTGGTCTTTAATTGGAGGGAAACCTGTACCAATGTTTAATTAGATTTTTTTGTTTGGTGTGAATCTTGAATGTAAAGAAATTATGTGATTATCATAACAAACATATTTTTCTACTTTTTCAGATAATTACTGGAATCTAATTTACATTGCAATCGGTGTTTTAGGTGTAGCTTTATTGGTGATACCACCGTTAGGTTGTTGCTTCTGCAGGAGAAGGTTCGTCTGCCAAACTTTGTCCTTTTTATTTGTTCTAATGCTGTAAACAATAGGAACCTTAGCAATCGGCCGTGTTTGTGCTTCTGTACGTCTGTAATGCTGACGTGATCAAATTCGTCAAAAGTTTGTAAACAAGCAAACTTGAATTTTCAAGCACCTGTTGGTTATGAACTTTTGCATAGCAAAAATTGATTTTTGGTCATGTAATTGTGCCCTATTGCTTGAAAACATTTTTAAATTGAAATTAAACCAATACACGAGAACTTTGTTAAACCCTTTATCCAAAAGTAGCGTTATATGGTACAGATTATTAAATGCCTTGTTTTGAAAGTGAGCAGATCAAATTTCCTGACCTCTCCAAATGATAATTTAACTCTAGGGAATGTACCAACACAATTATCGATTGAATGAGATTAGAGGACATTGAAATTTCCCTAACATTTCTCCTGAATGAAGAATTAAAAAATATATATTGAGCTTTATTTTTTTTAAAGAAAAGTCCTGGATCTAGTGTATTTTTTTTTTTACCAAAATGACTGCATAGGAACATCGGCTCTCGCGGAGGTCTCTGGTTAGGCCCATTCATTTCTAGTTATACGTTGTAACGTTTGTATATTCGACAATTAAGGGCCCAGTCAAGTTTATCTAATTTCATATTAGCATATTGAGTTCCTTTTTGACAATTTGCTGTAAGAGATAATGAGACTTCTACATTTATCAGATATTAGCATGCCCTAGCTGTGTTGTTTATTATTTCTTTTGCTTCCAAAAAAAGGTCAGATGGTGATGTTCTGCAAAGCTCAAGAGGTACAGCTGTTCAAAACGATTATGCATACCACAAGTACGTCAAAAATCCTATTACTTTATGTACTCAATTTTCTATTTTGTTATCTATACATTATGCGTTTTAAATTAGCATTAGGCTTTGTTTTAAATATTAAGAAATAAGCTTTTTGACAAGTTTACCTAATTTCATATTATAATAATAATAATAATGTCGTTCTTATATAGCGCCTAATGCCTTAACAAAGCCTCTAAGCGCTTCACATTATTACCCCGGTCACTGGATCAAACACATATGGAACACATTAAACACTAAATGAAATTTACACATCTAGATGTGTATAAGAGACAGCTACCAGGTACCCACTTGTACTCCTGGGTGGAGAGGGGCAACCGTAGATAAAGTGCCTTGCCCAAGGACACAAGCGATTTGCACAGCGAGAGTTTCGAACCCCCGACCCCGAGGTTGGGAGTCCAAGCCACAACCGATGCGCCAACCACTTCTATATTAGCATATTGAGTTCCTTTTTGACAATTTGCTGTAAGAGATAATGAGACTTTTACATTTATCAGATATTAGCATGCCCTAGCTGTGTTGTTTATTATTTCTTTTGCTTCCAAAAAAAGGTCAGATGATGATGTTCTGCACAGCTCAAGAGGTACAGCTGTTCAAAACGATTATGCATACCACAAGTACGTCAAAAATCCTATTACTTTATGTACTCAATTTTCTATTTTGTTATCTATACATTATGCGTTTTAAATTAGCATTAAGTTTTGTTTTAAATATTAAGAAATAAGCTTAATACAATTTTGGCAGAAATTTATTCTAGTAATATAATTTTAGATTATTGCATGGGCAGAGTTTAGGACATTTGTTTCTCTCCTTTATAAATCATCTAGGCCTATACAGAATTAACTTATTTTTGAATGTCGTTTTCCATAATTTTATTATGCTTAATAGACTTATAATATTGTATTTTATTATGTAAATTTAGTATTTTTTTATGTAAACATTTTTAAATGTTATTACATGTTATGTAATGACATCATTTCAGTTCTTCTTACTAATGACGTGTTGTTCTTGTTTCAGTTATACCTATGAAACGGGAAGCCAGACTGTTCAAACCAATGATACATATGCTACGTAAGTAGTTGTTGTTGTTAAAGTTGAAGTTGAAGTTGTTTTTGAAGTTGTTGTTGAAGTTGATGTTGAAGTTGTTGTTTTTTTTTTTGTTTTTTTTTATGCTGTTGCTGTTTTATTATTATTATTATTATTAAATTCCTACTTTTTTTAGAAATGAAATGAAGAAAAATCCTATTAAATGAAATACTCATTTTTATATTTTTGTATCTGTACATTAGATTTAGGCATATTATTTTATGGGCAATAATTAATATTTAGGACAACTTTTCCGTGTTTAGGACAGCTTTTTTAAACAACATCCTTTAAAATTATCTATACAGAATTATTTAATTTATTGCAGTTTAATAAATCTATGATTGTATTTTATATAATTTTCTTTTTATGTAATAATATTTTATGTAATTATATTTTCCGTAATTATATAATCTGTTTACTAATGACGTATTTCTTTTGTTTCAGTTCTATTTTTAAAACTGGCCAATAAATAAAGGTAACGATGCTCTGCAGGAAAGAATTTTTTTATGACGGTGACAAGTTTTCAAGGTGTTTATTATTTCGCATTTACAGATTTTAATTTTTTTTAAAGAATAATTTGAACAATTTTGTATGCTGAAACTCACCAATGAAAAACTGGACATGTAACACAGAATGTGACAGAACAAACAACAACTATGGTTACTATTTGATAAAATATGGCACCACACTGTACAACAGTCGGGCAAATCATAACATGTTATTAATAGTCGGAAATATGTACAAGTCCCACATAAAAGTTTACATACGTCTTTGCTGTTGTCTTTTAAGACCTTAGCAACAATAATCAAGAGGCGGGGCTTAGGGAAACGGCGATATATTGGTCTTTGCTTTCGTATGATCATGTTTAAAAGAATATCACATTACAGTACTGTACTAGAAACAAATATTTATATATAGTTACCATTATATTTCTTTTATCAATTTGTTGTGATTCCTAAAGTCCCGTAGTTAAGTACGGTACGGTATAAATTCATATTAAGTTCCTAGTCCACGTATCAAGCGCTATAAAAAATGCACTAGGCCTATTATTATTATTATTATTATTATTATTATTATTATTATTATTATTATTATTAAGTTTGATTTACTTTTTTTTTTTTTTGGTAAATAATTGTCATAGCTGTATTTAGCATGGAGGAATTAGTTCATTTAGTTACCAGTGTAATATTTAATCAGACTGGCCAATAGACCTTTCCGGAGTGTCAATCAAACTAACAACTGACTAATCAGAACAGCGCTAGGAATACGCGCGCGTCTCACAAACACACGTGTTTTCCCACTAACGCACGTGTTCGCCTATGTTTTAACACTGTCTCCTTGTGGGACCTTAGCAACAATATCCAAGGGACGGGGCTTAGCGGAAAGGTCCATTGACCTTTCCGGAGTGTCAATCAAACTTAACCTCTGCAGTTTTGTGAGCCTTAGCAACAATATCGAATAAGCAGGGCTTAGCAACATCTTAGGTCCACTGTAAGATGTATAGGCCTATATGTTAAGACAAAAATATAAATGAATATAGAAAAGATGCGTACGAGTGCCGTTTTCCACTAGGCGAATTTATTCGCGCGAATCGAAAATTTGTACCCGTACGTATGCGCATTTGAGAATCACGTGATGAAAACTTAATTGCATGCATGCGTATAGGCGAACATTTTCGATTCGCGCGAAGTGGAAAACGGCTTTTACGGACAGTTAAGTCGCATTGTAGAATATTAAACACGAACCATTCTCATGACGACTTAACGACTGTCCCCCACGATAAATCGCGTCAGGCTACATCGTACGATGCTGTCCTTGTTGGACTTCCGGAAAATGTTTGCACAAATAAGATGAGTTTAGGTGCGGCAAATACAACAATGCAGACAGTATTAGAGATATCCACTTGTGATATCTGATTTACATAATAGGTGTTTCAGTGCACAATATTTTGATGCATATGTCAATATTTCGTATACACAAGAATAACAGTACCTGTATATATTATGTTTATTAAATTAAAAATAAATTTTTCTTTTGAAAAAAAACCCCATTTGTACTTCATTTTAAGATCAGAGAAAATAAAGTCAAACAATATTCAATATAGAAGATTTCTTTATTTGTGTCGTCAAAAAAGAGTGCAAAATTAATACAAAACAACAATATAATTATAATTAGGCCCTAAAACTTATTATTTTGATTAAAAATTCTAATTGACACTGGTACGAATGAGTTGAGCAATCTATTTGTTCTAGTGGTTTGTGACTTTAATCTTTAGCCCAAAGGTAGCCGAGTAAAAGATGCGCTTTTACAAAGCCGAGAACTCATTGCGTCGTGCGACGGTTGTAAGACCGTCGCACGACGAATCGAACCCGCCTCCTTGTGAGCACTGAACCACGCGCTTTGGCTTTTAAAGGCCAGCTTTCCATAAATAATTATTTGTACAGATGAAGAAACTCCAGGGTTGGTTTACATCTTTAAAATTAGATATAGAACGCAGCAAATCTGAATTTTCGTGATGATGAACATGCTCGAAATTCGAAAAAAAACCCCACTGAATTGTCATGGTTTCCAGGATATACGACACCATGGATCATTTACGTGAGACTTTGAGCGACGCCCGACCATGCCCACTTACGTTCTCGTCTGGGAGTCGCTTTACCCCACCATCGGGGACATCGGGCCCTTCGTAGGGGAAATTGGATCCTTGTCTGGCAAATCCTGTCGCAAACCAGCTTTATGACGTAAAATAAGGCATGGGTTAAAGGGGTTAGTGCACACAATTTGCTGCTCTCTCTGAATAGGCCTTATAAACTGGCCAAGCTCAGCACCAACAGAAAAATAAAATGAGCAAGTAAAGGCCAGCCCGACCCGATTTATCGTCGGGGACAGTCTTAAGCCGTCGTGAGAAATATTAAACATGTTTAATATTCTACTACGCGACTGCCACCGCTGCACACCATCGCGTCTGAGTTGGCCTTAAGTTAACAAAATCATAACTATTTACACTTAAAGTTTCATCGGAAGCAACAAATATAAACCAAGGCAGAATAACTATGGGGACTATGATGCGGACTGTTCAAAGTGGCTTAATAGCCTTTGCCATTTTCTCCATCAATCGCTCTTGTTAAATAATGCAGCATTTACAACAGGTTAAATACACAGCTAACATGATCACCTCCATGCCAAGATTTTCTTTTGTATTATCAGATATCTTATTGCTAAAGTTATTTCCGGGAGTAGCAGTATCCAATCAAAACTCACTGCTTGCGTATCATCATTTTGCATACTTCAGGTAGCTTAAGGTCAGTCATGACGCGGCCAACGCGATCGTAAAGGAGAACGGTAACTTTCAAAACAAGATGTGCCCAACAAGTGTTCTTCGCTCTTTCAAACGGGAATTATATTTTCTGTTGATTGGTTTCCTTTCGTGTTATGGACTGACAGGTAAGTAAAACGAAGCAACTTGACGATGACTGAATTGATACATGACAATTGAATGAGCTATAACTTCAAATACTTCAAATGCTGTCGCCCAACCAAGTTCCATTAACTCGTGCACTGCTGAAGTTTTGATTAAAAAAAAACAAAAACAAAAAAAACAAAACGTTGGGCGAGGGTGATGGGGTGGGGGTGATGGAGATGATGGGAGGGGTAATTGGCGATGGGGCTGATGGGGAGGCTGTTGGAAAGGCTGATGAGGAGGCTGATGGGGCAAAGTGGGGGATCGATGATTAGGTAAAGGGGAACTCGCAAAATAAGGTGATTTGAGGTGATTGGGGCAGGGGCAAGTATTTTGGGGGAGAGCACCTTCTCTGCGCCCCTAGATACGCCACTGCCATTATGATTGATTGATTCTGTATCCAATGATCAGGGAAAACAGCACATTGAGCAGTTTGTTGGATATGTGCGCTATGTGCGGTATATTTATTCAACACATAAAAAGGAAAAAGATACACATAAAAAGGAAAAAGATTGACAGAAAGTGTAGTGCAGCCTTGGCTAAATTGCTCATATTTATCAATCAATTATTTATTTATTACAGTAATCATTTATCAATTATTACTGTAATCATGCATATCATTGTAATCGATGTTGTTATTATTTTTATTCAGTATTCATTGTTGACCCTGCTTAATCTTAATGTCAACGTCTTCATCTATGTGCCCTGTCTGACACATGGAAGTCCATGGAATTGTAATTAGTGATACAGCTGATGAATCTATTTTAAATTTGCGATAGCAAAACAAAACACAAAGACCCACTCACCATAAACCCTCTTACCTTCTAGGAACTGAAGTTTAAATGATTCATTTAGCTGAGACAAAAATAACAAAAAATGGATGGTTTTAAACATTTCACCATGTTCACCTGGATATGCAGATATAAATAATAATAATAATAATAATAATAATAATAATAATAATAATAATAATAATAATAATAATAATAATAATAATAATAAACTAAGTCTCATTATGAGGTTTAGGGAATAGAGTTGGTTTGGGTCGTAAGAAAAAGTCCTGTCACTGTCAGTGATTGAACCTAAACCCTAGGTTTGGAAGGGAAGCATCAACCACCAAAGTTATACAAAATAAATATTAAAGGCACGTCCCAGTCAGAAAAATAGACACATCAAAAAATATTAAGCATATTTAACTTAATACCGTGAAGTTTACTAAAGACATAAGTTCGGACCCTCAGCACAAATTGATGTGTATTTAGCTCGAGAACCAGGAAACGCGTTCTTGTTAAAAATAAAATTAATAATGAAAGGCGTTTGTTTTGAAACATGGCACAACCTTTTCGACGTTAAGTGAGCCTCTTGAGATATTAGCCTACCTAAGTTCCACCCCGTGATTGGCTGGTTTGTTACTTGCTGTTGGATGCGAATTTATTATGTCACATTTTAATAAGCCATTTATTAGTTTGAACTGCGCATGCTCGTATCTAAGGTCAATCCACATAAATCTGTGATGTATGTTTATTTATCTCGATTGACTTTGATATGTGCATGTGCATTTCAAACTACGAATTAATATTTACTCATTTCTTCCACTTGTTGTAAAATCACATAAAGTATCTCATTCGAGATCCAGCTTCCTGAAAATTAAATATAGCACAGAGAGAGCATATCTTATAGATCTCTGACTGTCTATCATATGCAATAATAATGATATATAAAAACGGTGACGAAAGGCACGTTGAAAGCGCTTAGAATGACGTTCCATGCTTCCCCGTGAAGGTAGCTCATTCGTTATTTTTTTAGGTTGTATTTATTATACAATGATAATTTTCAGATAAGCTTTACAAACTTCTAATGATGTGAGATTTTTTTTTTTTTACCACCAAGCTCACGATCCAGCTCCGCAATGAATGGGTATTCCCCTTTCTGCTACCGAACATCACGCTCGAATTAACACTTTATTTGTAGGCCATAGAGGCCAGAGAGTCATGTTTCTTGTTTACAGTACACAGTAATTCAAACCAAGAATTGGCTCCCACCGAGCAGACGACATACAAATGTAGAAATGGAGTTGATTATCTTAGGCTGTGTTTATACTACACACTAAATACGAACACGGATTCACGTCCTTGAATGTGTTTACGCTAGCCGAGACGATCCTCCAAACGTCGGCGTTTATACAACACACCATTACAAGGGTCATGCGATAGCAGGATTTTTTCTTAGCCTAAAAACAAATCTACCACCTAAGCCTCATAAAATGAGTTCACTGATAAAAAGCATCACGCTGGTTTATATTAAAAGGGACTCTGACTCGTATCAGCCTCTATAAATATGGTAAGCCTATAAACAAAATGTAACACCATGTCACCGTCAGAGCATGGACCTATCAGAGAAATCCAGGGGTCGCGCCTGCGGGGGCGGGAGGAGAGCTTCCCCCTCCCACGTCGGGGAGAAAAACAACAATTCTTCGGGGAGGAAAATAATTACATGTATTTTCTACATATTAGTAGACTCTAAAATCGATTAAATAAGCTTTTGAAAATCCTAAATTGTAACAATTTTCGGAGGCTTCGCCCCCAGGACCACTTTCGAAACATTTTAAGCGACGCTCGACCACGCCCATTTTGCTTTCGTTGGGTAAATCTTCCCCTCCTCGGGGGAATCGTTTACTTTGCAATTTAAAATAAATTATGGCACACTAGGACGGATATAATAATAAATAATATTTATTTGGACTTACTTTTTTACATCAGTGGCACACTTTGTAAAACAAAGATGCGTCCAAAACACTAAACTAACAGAGAAATGAGTGACAAGATATTAAATTAAAAAGAACAATACGTAAAACCAATACAAAATTGCTTAAAATAATCACTTCTTTCTTCCCTCCCTCTCCTTCCCTAATAATTCATATTTTAGCCCTTACCACTAAAGAGAACTGTGCTAAACTTTATTCTTCTTTTTCTAAACCATTGGCCATAAAAAATTTCTTGTATTGACTAAGTTTTGGAAAAATGCAAAATAAATGGGTAGGTCTGTAGGATTTTTTGTTTTGTTTTGTTTTTTGTTTTGTTTTCTGTTTTTTAACCTGTAATGTGTTTATGCCTAAAAAGTAGAAAATACACAAAAATATAACAAAGACCATTTTAAAATCTATATTTAAGAGTAAAACGATGGCATAACAATATTGCATTGCCTCCGTCGCAAGAAAAAACCAATTTCAGCCTTTTTAGCTCATTAAAAAATATATTTTTTATTGTATTCAAAAAAAAGGGGGGAAAAATCTAAAATGACGACCCTTAATTTCGAACATTTTTGGTCGGCCGGGCGTGGCCAACACAATAATTTGTTTTATTTGGCCTTACTATGTACCCCCCACCCTTCCCTCTTCTCTCCCTGAACTATGTAGAAAAAATACAAAGATGTACCGTGCTAGAGCATGGAATTCAATTACATAACTCGCTGCGCGAAATTTCCATACTCTTTTGATATATCTTTTGTAAAAATTGTAATTTAGAAATTACGCGTATATTTTGTAGTGCTTTGCAGGCTATGAGAGGAAATGGCTAATATTCTCGTCTGAATTTAAATTGCATAGGCTACACTTTCCATTATTATTTG